GGTTTAGATTGTTCTTGAAGGTTTAGGGTTTCAAGGGGTGTTTAATCAATTAGCAAGATTATCCTCTATAGGGTTCCTTCTTATGACGTGTTGTTGCCTCTGTATCATATTGCCCTATAGTAGTTTATGGCTTACCATGGGCTTTTGTAAAGCGGTGTTTCGCGTGTTCAGATTCAGATCTTAGGGTCCTGAAACGGGTGTCGGTGTTTGGTTTGTTGGGGTTTAGAGCTTACTAGGTCTTGGGTGTTGGTGTACGGAGTAGTGCGGATGTAGTAGTAGGACGCAATAGGGTTTAGGGTGCATTCAGGATTTGGGGGCGTGTGGCTGACAAAGGGCTTACTTGGCATCTACATGCCTGATTGCAACCTGCCAAGATCTTGCGGTTCGTTTTCACGAATCCTGGAGACTGTTGCAACCGCAAAAGACATCCTGTCGGCCACATGAAAATTCGTGCTGCTCACCCAAGAGCCATGCAAAAGCCCTAAACCCTAAACCCTAAACCCTTATCACACCCTTTGCCGGCCGTTCCTCGGATCATGACCGCATGGCTGCTTAAGGACATACAGTGTCCGACTTCGATCCTTCCAGCTAGGTTGGCCTTTGGTATCCTCAACATAGTATAACAATTTCGAATACAAAAAAAGCTATAATCACATAGTACAATCCAGTTTAATATAACATACTGTAGTATTAGCCTGTGAAATCTAATGTAGAATAATATAGAGCCGTAGAATACAACATAAGCAGCTCATTTGCACGTATCTGAATAGAAGCAGTACGCTGAGTACACTGCCGGTTTGTGGCTCCCTTGTTGAAAGTTCCTTTCAGAGGCAAAGTCATTCCCACGGTCCTCGTTTCATGCTGAGTCTGCCGGCCAACCCAGCAAACACTGTGAGTTTTTAAGTCCCTGGACTCAGGATTCATGGTTGAAGTTTGGGGTCGATGCATCTTCCTCCGAAGGTCCGGCCGGGTTTGGGATCCACCCGAAACCTAGCTGTCTGATTGCTCATGTTGCAGAATTGGGCTGGGCAAGCCGGGAAACCGACTGGATGCCGCTAGAGTCTTGGGATTCGGGGTTTATGTCTTGATACCCTTGAAACCTCCACTGAACCCTAATCCCTAAACCCTAAACCCTTAAACCCTAAACCCTAAACCCAAGATTGCCGACTAAGGGCCGGTCCTCGAGGGCATGCGATAGGTATCGTAGGATTCGAAAGTGCCACACTGGGCTCTGGAGGGCTCCGGAGGAGCTTTGAAACCCTCAAGTCCTCGAACCCTGTAGCACGTAAGCCCTAAACCCTAAACCCCTAAACCCTAAACAGAGTCGACACCTTTTATCCTGGGTTCAACAAGAAACCGCTGAATCTTGGACTTCTTTGGCCGGGAAGGTGCGGTGCAGGGGCCCGGTTGGTAAGGACGGGGTGTTGGTGTCACCACATACCACATTTCTGGCTTCGGGGTTCAGGGTTGCATGTATTATGCTATATCATGTTGTGCTGTGGTTTTATGTTATAGTGTTTTCTGCAAAGTGTAAGAAGTTTGAAATGTGTCATATTGTGTTATATTGTATCATCGGGTGAGGATGGATCTTATTGAGCCAGGGCTCTTTCTTGAACAGTCCTCAGCCGAAGCAGCACTCGTTTCGTTAGTGTGCTGCGACCGACTGTGGGCCCGCGTCGATGAAAGTCCGCCTGGAATGGGAACCGAAGGAGTCCGTTAATATAGAAGCCTCAAAGATTAACAATAGTATTCCTTAGGGCTCCTTGTTGTAATTATGCAAGAAACACAAACCATATGGGGGTTGTTCAGCCCCCTACATTATTTGAGTGTTTTGCTTCGCGCCGTGTTCTACAGTTTGGGCCTCCAGACATGGACGGAAATCTGAAACATCTCCTAGACCATGGGTGTCGGGGTTTGCTAGTCTCGTTGGTTCAGACCCCCTTTTCTCAAGCCCCCTGTAGTCTATCAACT